AACAACAATGAAAAGAAAAGCCTATAAGTAGTTCAAGGTCTGTTTGTTAACCTTTGGGAGTGTTTGATGGGCTGCCCCACCCTGGCTCCACAGTCTACTTTTGGTATACCCCCAGGAACTTCATTGCTTTGCTTCCCTTGCTGCTCTGTTGTATGCCTTAATGTTTTGCCTCGGTTTGGTGCAACCACCACTTCTATCTAGTTCTAAACATTTTCATGATCTCATAGAAAGCATGGTACCCATTAAACCATTATTTTCTGTTTTGTTCCTTAACCCCTGGCAACCACCATCTCTGTTGCTTCTGTATGGATACCTGTTCTGGATATTTCATATAAATGGAACCATGCAATCTGTGACCATTTTTGTGGTTTTTTTTCCCTTAGGGGAAGGTCTTCAAGGAGATGAATTGACAACTGTGGCTGTAACATTGGGCTCTAGAATAGGAACACTTGTGAGGAAGATTTAGGATTGGGCAGTGTTTATTCTGTTCTGCATAGGATAGGGTTGCTAAAGGTCGGAGCCAACTTGATGGCACCTAACAATAATACTGTTTTTTTAGTTTCATATATATTGTAGCATGTATCAGTACTTCATTCTTCTCATGGCTGGATAACGTTCCATGGTCTATGGATATACCACAATTTGTTTATGAATTCATTGATGACATGGGACTGTTTACACTTTTTAGATATTATATATTGTGCTTCAGTTAACATGTTTGCACACATATTTATCTGAGTATCATTTTACAATTATTTTAGACATATACCCAGAACTGGAGTTGCTGGATCATAAAGTAATTTTGTATTTAACTTTTTAAGGAACTGCCTTACTGTTTTTTTATAGCAGCTGCTGAGTTTTATAATCCTATCAGCAATGAGTGAGAGTGTTCTAATTTCTTCACATATTTGCCAATATTGGTTATATTCAGTTTTTCACATAATAGCCATCCTGGTGGATATGAAGTGCTATCTCATTGTAGTTCTTATTTACATTTACATAATGAGTAATTACACTGAGCATCTTTGCATGTGATTGTTTGTCCATCTGTGTATCTTCTTTGATGAAATGTCTGTTCAGGTCCTTTGCCCATTTTTTGATTTAGTGTGTTTTGGGTTTTTTTTTTTTAATCGCTAAGTTGTCAAAGTTCATTATATATTCTTGATATTAAGCCTTTACATAATTTATAAATCCAAAATATAAGGGTAAATTAAAAAAATACTGCTACTAGGGTTGTATTTCAAAGTGTGTTTAAACTTGGTCTGCAGTCAGTGAATGGCTACAGCCAATTTCACTGACACATTTGTCTTAGTCTTGTTAAGGTGCTTTAAAAAAAATTCCAATCAGAACAGTGGCTTTTGAAAAGGATCTGTTGTGTTAGTTCAACTATTCAAGGCTGACGGGTCAACTCAGAATTATTATAGTAACTAGTTTGGTGGGACTTGGATGGGGTAATCTTGATAGATATTCTCAAAGGAAATATGACCACAGGAACTTATTATGAAGAAATTTTAAGAAAATTGAAAACTGCATTAGTGAGAAAAAGAAAAGTTGTGGAATATTGGGCTGAGGAATTTTTTTCCCATCATGAAAGTGCACCTGCTCATTCTTAAGCAGTAACAATGGCAGCCCTACAAGAATTTTACTGGAAAACTATCACATCTGTCCCACAGCCCTGATCTTGACCCTTTAGACAACTTTTCGCCCCCAAAACTTGTAGAATATTTAAAAAGAACATGATTTGAATCCTTTGAGGATGCCGAAACTGCTATTTTGTCATGGTGTAAATTGATGACACCATTCTTTGAGTAAGGGATGTTATGTAATGTCATGTTAGGTGCCATCAAATCATTTTCATTTCATAGTGACCCTATGTTCAGCAGAACAAAACATTGCCCGCGCCTTCACTATCTTCATAATTATTGTTATGTCCAAAATATAGGTCAGATCAGGTCTTGCCATCCTTGCTTCTACAGAGCATTCTTGCGGTACTTTTTTGAAGGAAGGGTTAGAGAGATGGGGAAACACTTTTCAGAAGTTTTTAGACCTATATGGGAGGATATGTCAAGAAATAAAAGTTTCATATTTTATAATTTTTGTTTTTCTAAAGACTTCTATGATTTTTGTAGTGATACTTTTTTTATCCCTCCCACATATTTTCTCCCATTCTGTACACTTTATCTTCACTTTGCTGATAAAATTCTTTGATGCATTAAGGCTTTAAATTATGTTGCATTAAGGCTTTAAATTATGTTATTAGTTCTATCTTTTGTTACTCATATTTAGTTGTCTTATCTATCATTCAAACTTTTTTTTAAAACTTTATTGTGAATTAGGTGAAGATTTACAAATTATCAGTTTCACATTCAACAATTCATATACATATTGTTATCTATTGCAGTCCCCTCAGTGTACCATCATTTATTCTCCTTCCTCCCCATGTTTCTTGTTTCTATTTTTGCTAACCTTCTGAACTTAGGGAAATGCTGCCAATTTGATCTTAAATGGTTATTTATTCTAACATGGGAGTCAATTCAGTTCAAGACCTGAAGGGTGACAAAGGGCCATGGTCTTGGCCTTTAGTCTGTCCAGCCAGTAAGCCTGGTTTTTTTTTATGATTTTGATATACATTCTAAATTTTTCTCACTATTCAAGACCTTCGAATGTGAAGCTTATCAGAGCAGTTGGTAGTGGGAGTTGGGCACCACGGAATTCTTATCTAAGGATTGTGGAGACTGATGGTCCATTAATCCATTGGACTAATTGTTACCAAATATCTTATGATTCTCATCACTCTTCTTTCATCTGGATGGGGAAAGGCCAGTAGTTGAACCTTAGATGGCTGCTCACTAGCTTTTAAGACCGTAATTGCACTCATCAATGTAAGAATGTAGAATATTATCTTTGTGAACTGTGCTATGCCAATTGACCATGGTGGCCCCTAAGATCATGTCCAGATCTCATTCACCATTTTCACATAATGGAATATTGTATACTATTTATCATTCTTACATGTCTTCATGATTATTTTGATAATAATATCATAGTCTGTTAATTCCTAAAGTTAATTAACCATTATTTGTAAGCATTTAGTGTAATGTTTTTATAGGTGATAGTATAACGGAACATCTTTTTGTGGATAACACAATCTTTTTAACAATTGCCTATGGTAAATTCATAGGTATATTGCTTTTTTTGAGAATGCATATTTTTAATGAGTTTTAAGTCCAAAATCAGCATACTTCAACTGGAACAAGGGTGACAGTGTAAACTCTCCAACAACAGAAGAAAAGAAATCATAAAGATCAGAGCAGAAAGAAATGAACTGGAAAAAAGAGAGAAAAAAATCAACATGAGAAGAAATTGGTTCTTGGAAAGGATGAATAACATTAACAAACTGCTGGCAAACTTAACAAAGGAAAAGAAAGAAAAAGATGCAAATAACTAGAATTAAAGATGAAAAGAATGACATCACAACAGGTCCAAAAAGAAATAAATATCTATGAACGTTGTACTCTAAGTTTGATAACCTAGAAGAGATGGACAAATGTAAAGAAATACATCATCTCCTCAAATTAATGCAGAGGGATGTAGAAAACCTCACCAGACCTATAACAAATGAAGAAATGGTATAGGTCATCAAGAAACTTCCAACCAAGGAAAGCCCAGGATCCACACGGCTTTCCTGGGGGATTCTGCGAAGTATTCAGTGAAGAGCTGTTACCAATGCTACACAAACTATTCCACAAGGTAGAAAAAGACAACAAACTGTCAAACTCATTCTATGGAAAAGATTTGGGTGGGAACATACTTTATCCTGCTTAAAAAAAAAAAAATTTATGCAATGTTCCCTTTCAGAGATTTTAAATACCTGGAAATGAGACAGTTTTTCCTATTACATAATTTTCTAGTTTTGCATTCCAAATTGTTAACAGCTTGTTTGTCCATCTCAGTGGCATTTTTGTCCATCTCAGTGGCAGGTTAACATGATACTAATTATAATCATCATAAATTATGATCCGCATAATCAGCCTTACACAAGTTGTATACTACTTTATAAAAAACAAAATAAAACAAAATCCACAACCCATTACCATCAAGTCAATTCTGACTCATAATAATCTAATAGGACAGAGTAGAACTACCCAATAGGGTTTCCGAGGCTGATGCATCTTTCTCCTTTGTACTGACTGGTGAGTTTGAACTGCCAACCTTGTGGCTAGCAGCTACGCACTTTAAACAGGGCTCCTTTTCCTATGCTTTAGAATCTACTGCCATTGAGTTGATTCCAACAGTACCTCATTTTCTTACAGAGATGACAGAAGAAGAACAGTTTGCTCTGGCTCTCAAAATGAGTGAGCAGGAAGCCAGGGAGGTGAATAGCCAGGAGGAGGAGGAAGAGGAACTTCTGAGGAAAGCCATTGCTGAAAGCCTGAATGTAAATATGCTCTGTTAAAAAAATTGTGAAAATTAATCAGCATTATTCTTTTACTATTGCAGTGTTTTAGTATTAAATCGAGCTCTAGTAGTTCTTGATGTTTTCAGCTAATAAGTATTTTCCCTTAATAATTTTTAAGTCTGCATTCAATTGTTCCTAAACCCAATTTCAATTGTTTTGTTATTAATTCTGCATTACAGTTGTCCTCTACCTAATAGAATTTCAACCATGGCTTAGGAGATCAATAGTAATTAGCAGCTTCTGAAAAGAGTTACTGAGTACCAATAAACCAAAAGGGAGCAAGAAAAAGTGCCTCCTCACCTGTTTTGTGAGAACAAAGGGCATGAAAATCAGCCATGGGTTATGGAGAGAAAGGATAGACAGTTTTATGGTTAACAGCCCAACAAGTAACCACTATGCCACCAAGGCTTCCTACTAGGATAGACAGTTTTAAAAATAACCAAATAATATGCTAAAAAAAGAATTTTTGTTAGGTACTGTTGAGTCAGTTCCGACTCATAGCTTCTGTTTGTTCAAAAGAATGACACACTGCTTAATCCTGCACCATCCTCACAATTGTCCCTATGCTTTAGCCCATTGTTGCAGCAGCTGCATGTCCATCTCTTTGAGAGCCTTCCTGTTTTTTGCTGCTCCTCCACCTCACTACACAAGATGTCCTTCTCCATGGACTGGTTTCTCCTGACAACATGTCCAAAGTACATGAGACAAAAGTATCACCATCCTTGCTTCTAAGGAGCATTCTGGATTTACTATTAAATAGTGTTAAATTATCATTTGAATATGTACAGTTGAAATAATTTTAAATGTGAAGGATACTTGCTAGTGGCGGTCCCTGTGCCTTCTCTTACTCTACTCAACTATGCCAGAAAGAGGTTTAGTGTAGTGATCTAGCGTAGCATTGCCACATGTTAGGAATTCAAATGCATTTGTGGGATTCATTTGAATTCATCATCTACCTTTTTTTAAGGGTACAGCTATTAGGAACAGTGACTTCCCCTTTCTGTTCTTCCTGTGGCCCTTCATGAATAGTTAAATTATTAATAAACCTGGTCTGGGGTGGGATCACTTGTTTCAGAGTTGCCGGCCTTCTGATGCCTCTGCTACCAGCTCTCGACCTCTTGCCACTGGACCGTCTTCACAGTCCTACCAAGAGAAAACCACAGACTCTGGGACCACTGAAGGCATGTCTCCTTGTTCCGACTCCTTCCACTCATCAAGTAGGACCACGTCACAGGGCTGTTAGACTGAGAGTTGATGTACAGAGATGCCCCAAATCCCTCTGATGATATGAAAGAGGTGAAATCAGAAAGTAGTTGAGATTTCATAAATATCCAGCATACTTTTATCTCTAAGGAAAAGCCAACATTTGGTTAAACCCTCTTAATAGAAGGCTCTACTTAATAGAAGAGCCTTTCTTACATTAAGTAATCCTAGTGATAGCTAATCAAGTCCTCTTCATAAAAACAGTTTGTCTTTTAGCCCTACTTTTTCTCAAATACCTACAGGCATATGGCAGCCGGTACCTCCATCACTGTTTAAAGGCTCACATATCAGTCAGGGAAACGAGGCTGAGGAAAGAGAGGAGCCCTGGGACCACACTGAAAACACTGAAGAGGAGCCGGTCTCTGGCAGCTCAGGAAGCGGGGACCAATCAAGCCAGCCAGTCTTTGAGAACGAGAACGTTCAGTGTCTTGACAGATGTACTGGCCACTTGGCTGAGCACACACAGTGTGGAAAGCCACAGGAAAGTACTGGGAGGGGCTGTGCTTTTCTCCAAACTGCCCAGGGCAGGGGAGCCACATCTAGGCACTGTCTGCCTGTCCCAGCAGATGCTGGAGGTGTCCAGTGCATTGGGAGCACTGTGCATTACTTCTGGGGTATTCCATTTTGCCCTACTGGAGTAGACCCGAACCAGTATACCAAGGTTATTCTCTGCCAGTTAGAGGTTTATCAAAAGAGTCTTAAAATGGCTCAGAGGCAGCTCCTTAAAAAAAAAGGGTTTGGGGAACCAGTGTTACCTCTTTTACCTTCTGTGACCCAAAATGAATATGGCCAAGGAGATCAGGCTAGTGAAAACAATGAAGGCATCTCAGAAGATATGGGAGATGAAGATAAAGAGGAGAGGCAGGAGTCTAGGGCATCTGTCTGGCACTCAAAACCCAAGGATTTCCAAGAAAGTCCAATTAAAAGCTTGAAAGAGAAACTTTTGTTGGAGGAAGAACCAACAACCAGTCATGGTCAGGTAAGGGCCAGTGATGCTGTATCTAAGGACCATTTGTTCACAGACTAATCAAGGACTTTACCTGCTTGTTCTTTGCTCGCTCTTTCATTCCTGATTATTAAATACATGATCACTGCATAAAATGAAAGTACAGAGTCTTACCTCTTGATCTTTTGTTTTTAGGAACTTAGGGTAGAAAAATAGCATATACTTGTTACATATTTTCTATTGAAAGTAACAAAATTTGAATGTTAACAACTGTAATGGTATAAAGAAGAGTATAAAGAAGAAAAACAGCACTAAGTGGGAGGCAACAATATTTTGAGTGGATTTATTTCAAATGAATATTTCTATGCATATAAAATTTTACATTTTTAAGCAAAATGAACACTTATTCTGTGGTGGTTGCTTTTTCTGTTTTTGTTTTCTGATGTAGCTATGATTGTATCCTTTTAAGATATCCTCCCCCCCACCCCACCCCTGAATATTGCAAAAACAACCACATGCTCTTTATAAGCTATCTTTTTAAAGAGCTGAAGTGTATTTTATTTTAGGAATATCCTATTTTTTGTTGTTGCTATTTTTCTGTTACTGAACTTTTGAGGTTTTGGTTTTATTTTCCTGTTCTTTTATTCATTCTGTCTCTCTTATATAAGTTCAGGAATTGGCTGTGAGAAACGTTATAGCATAATGGAGAGAGCATATCTTTGGAGTTTGAATTTTGGTTTTCATGCTTTAACAGCTACGTGTCTTTTAGCAAGCCACGTAGCTCTCTGAGTCCTAGTTTTCATATAAAAACATGGGGATAAACAAATCCTGCTTTTTAACTGTTGTTTTAATGGCTTAGTATAATGCTTAGCCGATATGGACACTAGAAAGTCATTTGTTGGGAGTTCCTTAGGAATCATTCTTAACCCTCTTCACATTTTGGAAAGATTGCTTTATGAGAACAGAAGATAGTTTGCTTAACAATTATATGACACACCATTTCTAAAGGAAAACTAGGTATTACTTGTAATAATATGTTTTGTTTGTTTGTTATTTATAAGCCAGGCATGCTTCTTACTTGAGAAAGAATTAATTAGCTCCACAAGAGTCAACATTTAATCTTTTCTCGTAATTTAGGTTGTTAACTTGGGAGATTATAGTGCCAGTGTGCTAGGGTGTAGATTTATGTCAGGTTCTGAGATTTGGAAGCAGTGCCTTTGGACAGCCTAGAAGTGTCTAAAACCTGGTGACTGGCTTATTATGTTTGACACACCTTAACTTCAAGAACCGACCACTGTTAGTAGTTGATAGTACTTGGCTACTGCCAACAAACAGAATACCTTATAAATTCTAAAATTGGTTCATAATCAAGCCTGCAAGAAGATATTGGGTCTAGAAAGCCACCTGTACTTTTTCTCATCTCTGTATTACATTTGCTTCATTTCTCCCTGCAGACTGACTTCCTTTGCTTCTCTATTATACAAGATAGTGGGAAGACACCAAATCTTACAGCTCCCTAAATGCTAATTTACACACAGAAAGATTTGCTCTTTCTCAATTCCAATTCTAAATTTTCACAAAAGGCATTTGGGGATAGTGGCTTTCCATAGCCCAGTCAACCCTGTCATGTGAAGGGAGAGTATCTCAGATTGTACAAATGGCTGTAATCCCGTTGCTGCAATGGGGTAGGAGGAATAAGGGGCAATCGTCAGTAATCATTAAAAGAGACCAGCTGACAACTTAGTAAGTACCCACCATGGACATTAACAGCAGTTATAGAAATGTTAAAAGCATGCTGAAAAGTTTAAAGCATCCATAATCCTACCATCAACTGATGTATTCTCTCATCGTTTTTTCCTTAATTTTGTGTAATTTAGATCAGGTATATTTGTATTTTTAGAGCAACATATCATCTCTGTTATTTAACATAGAATCTTTTTGCATGATGTTAAAACTAAGTTTATTTGTTGTCACTAAAGATTTACAAGTCCATTTCAATTTTACTTTCCCTCTGTTTTTAGGCCACTCAGATCACTGTTTTTGAGGGATAAGGAATGTAGAGGGATTTTTGTTTTGTTTGTTTTTAAAGAAACATACTATATACATCTACACAACTTAGCTCAAAAAATGAAATCAACAGCAATATCCTGTTAAACCCTCTGTGTTTTTTTTTCATCCCCTCATCCTTCCTCCCTTTCTCAGCAACCTATAAGTTTATTTTTATTTATTTATTTTTAAATCATTTGATTGGGGGCTCGTACAACTCTTATATAATCCATACATACATCAGTTGTGTCAATCACATTTGCACATTTGTTGCCATCATCATTCCCTATAAGTTTATTTTTAACGATCACATAATATTCCAGCTTACAGATAGAGTTTTTTAAACCATGTTTCTATTTATGTATATTTTGGTTATGGTAAACATTATTCTCTATAAAGCTTTTATTTATTTAAAATTCATTTCCTTAGAGATAAGGGAACCAGATAGGATTAGATTTATGAACACTTAAAAAAACCACACACACACACACACACACACACACACACACACGCAAAATCACAACTTGCTGCTATTTACCAAATTACCGTTCAAATTATAAAAACTTCCTCTAGCAATGTGTTCTGAGAATACCTGTCTCACTGAGTCTTATAAACCAAAAACAAACAATAAATTGCATAGGTAAATAATGGAAACCTTACAAGTGTAATCTTACCTCTCGATCTTTTGTTTTTAAGAATTTAGGGTAGAAAAATACCATATACTTGTTAAATATTTTCTATTGAAAGTAACAAAAATTGAATGTTAGCAAATGAGAGGATTCTAGAAATAGAAATGTAGAAAAACATTCAGCTTGGTGAAAATAGCTTATGATGATAAAACTTTGAATCAAATGAAGATAGTTTGTGGCCTCACAGAGCAAAAGGGACATCGTTAACAGGAGGTTGAGAGGTCACCTTGACAAGGCCTTAGGACCAGAAGGTGGAGGGGACCAGTGCATTGATGTGGTTACTATTTTTTAGTCTGATCTTTACTTTTTCAAAAGTCCCAAGTATTGGAGTTTGTTCCCCAGACAGGATTAGATTGGGTGGGTATGTGAGGACATCGAGTAACCAAACTTCGAAGTCTATATGTCAAATGCCAGGTTTGTTAGTTTATTCCAGGAGAGAACATTTTCAGTGACCAGCATATTCAGAAGCAATACATTGATTAGACTACAGCATCTTTATTTAAAGTTAAATTCCTACCCTCTTTCGTTGTTCACCTTCATTAGTTTCAGGTATTTCCATTGCTGTTTGCTCAATTTACTCTTTATTTTAATATTCTACAAAAGCCTAATATTACTACTTCCTCTGATGCGCAGGTATCTAGGAAGCTGAAATTGTAATCACAAAATGGGAGGTTTAGGGATGGAAAGGCCTGATAAATGCCCACTGCCCTACGACAGGGAGGACATTTTTCTCGGGTGACCAGATGATTTTTTTCACTTTCAAGGTCATAGGTTGATTCTGTATCTGGGTTTTCCTTTTTTAGAGAAATTGAAAATCATTCCCTTTGGAACAATTGTTTTGGGGAATCTAAGCCGAAATTGGTTGGGAAGAACATTAATTTGAGCAAAACATTATCGTCATAGTGGCTAGAGCATGGGTTTGGGAGTCAAAAGTTCCTCTTTTGAACAAATAAATGATTTTTGGCAAATTGTTTTAACATCTCAAAAGTTTCGCCTTCATTTCTAAAATAACAATAATTTATACCCTTTGACATAGTGGGATACCTGTTGGCTGCTAACTGCAAGGTCAGAGGTTTGAAACCACCAATCCCTCCGCAGGGGAAAAATGAGTCTTTCTGCTCCCTTAAGGATTCACAGTCCGGAAAACATACGGGACCACTTCTTTCCTGCCCTGTAGGGTCATTATGAGTTGGAATTGCTGGTAATGAGTTTGAGAGTTTTCAAGGTTCTTGCGGGAAATGAAAGGAGATAATGCATGTAAAGTGATTTCGTTTAGGACTGACATAATAGGCACCCAATATTTTTTTAAAAAACGATTCATTGGGAGAGGTAAGCTGTAGCCTACAGAAAAGGTAGAAATTGGGGTATTTTATATAACACTTTGATTGCTTCTAAACTGTTGGATGTACACTAGGTGTCAGTATTGTTCCGCTTTGGGGGGAGATTTCTGGACTGAAGCTGTGTCTTGTCACTGCTGAGTTCAAACAAATAGATGAAGTATTTATTGCTGTTGTATTTTAGTCCTTTTGACAGTTTTGTTCAACCCTCATTTTTCATAATGGCTACATTCCCAGTCATTGTACAACTTTATCTTCCCGTTGACTGAAGGCTCAAGTCAGCTATTTCTGGTTTTTAGTATATTTCATGATTTACTTGAGTAGTAGAGAGATGCCTACCGTGTGTAGGTTATTTATGTTCTTTTGGGAGATAGGTATACTCAGCCAGTAGTTTTCATCTACTGGAAGAAACAAGCACTTTCCCAGAAGTCTCCCTAAAGCAGCAGTGGCTGGTTTTTCTGTTGAACATGACTACATGTAGTTGCTCTTCTGTGTAGCTACATTTAATGAGCTGACATTAGCACTATCCCATTAATCAAATAATATAATCTTTTTCTTATCTGGTCTCTGTTTGTTATTCTTAGAAGATATCTCTGCACCCAGACTTCAAAACCATAGTGACAGATTGTAGCAAAAGGACCCTATATAACCTACTCTTTTGAGTGGCCCTCTGTCATGGCTTGGCTGTACTCAGAGGGACTTCTTTCGTGCTTTGCAGTGTTTGCCCTAACTCACTGTTCCCTCTGAAATCTGGACTTTCCTATTTCATTCTTCCACAAGAAAAGTTTTATAATTGCTTTTCTGAAATTTAAATTCCTTTGCTTTACAAATTAACCTCGATGTAGATCTTGCATTTTACAAAGTGCATTAGATGCACTGTCTTGTGTAATTCTTATAAAACCACCCTCTGAAGCAATATTAAGGCCCATTTTACAATGAGGAAGCAGATTCAGAGGTGATTTTCCCCAAGCTAAAAAATTAGTAGGTGATTCTGCTGAGATTGATATCCTAGTCCGACTCCATAGGGTCCATGTGCTCTTTTTATTAAAAGTGTTGTTTTATGTAAAATGTTGATTTATACACAATATTTTATTCTTATTGCTAATTGCTGAGTAGACTATTGAACACTTTTTTTTAAAGCAAGGTAAACTAAACGTATTCATCTGTGCTTGTATATTTAGGATATTACTTATTTCGTTTCAGTCTTCTCAAGATCTGTTTGTTGAAGAAACTTGTGAAGAAGGAAACTCTGAATCTGCCTCACAGAGGTGAGATATTGTATGTTGCTTTTGTTCAGCATTCTCCTCTGATGGTACCGGCATAAGAGAGATGAACCACAGGAGTGATACTGTCTAGGGACAGCTTGCCAGGGAGCTTTTAGCTCCGCTGTAAGCTCTGACTGTGAGAAATTGTTATTGTCTCCCAGTTCTCAAATGTGCATCTCATAGAAGTCTAGAATATTAAGTTTGCAAGGGATCTTAAGGTTTCCTCATCTATTCCACTTGTCACAGCAGGCTTTCCATTTACATTGTGCCTCAAAAGTAGTCGAATCCTGCTACTGCTCTCTGCTTAACCAACTATCCCACCTTCCTATGTTAATTTGAAGGCTCTTTACAGTCCTCCTACGCTGTGTTCTCTTTCTCCTTTTTCCCCTCTTCGGCTTACTTTATCTGCATACTCTTAATGTGTGCTTCTAAAACATACATCCGCTTGGAGTCTTCAGATTATTCAGGGCACACAGAACCCTTATCATCCTCCCTCTCTGATCTGTATGTATAACTTTTAATCAGATAATACCTCATCTTTCCCTTAAAGGGTTACATTTGTTCACTGCCTCTGTCATTCTTGCTGATTGATTGATGGGGGTTACTTACCTTCTGAAGCCTTCTCTAATAATGGATAGTGGTTGGTGGCTTGCAACTGCACCGCTAACTGAATCAGGCTTTCAGTCACTTTTTTCTTTCATCCAGTAGTTGACCTTTAGGAATTTTTCAAGTTTAATTTTGCGTGGAGTGACCAACATCTTCCACAGAGACGTGGAGGCACAGTTACCATTTGCTATAATTTAGGTGGTGGTCTTAGTCTTTTATACTATTAGATATTTCCTTCTAGGCTGTAGAATATGGTTTTGGTTTGATTTTGCTGCCGCTAAGACAGCTTTGAAAGTGCCTTTAACTGGAATAGGCCTTCTGCTTCCTTGAGGCCTCTCTGTTTTATTGTGGTGAGCTTGGTACAGAGCAGATGTAGGCTTTAATAATGATTATATGCTTTGTCACCAAGAGATAGTTGGAATCACAGGCAATGCGGTTTGACTTCAAGTTGATTAGCCCATTTTATAAATGTCAGTTAATTGTTTTGTGATGAACCCTTTAAATAGAGCCCTGATGTTACATGCAGAGTAAACTCTGTCTGGCTTGGGTTTATTAAAGAAAATGCTTTGCGATGTTTTATTTAGAGAATGAAATCACTTGTGGTCTACTATCGGGATTTAGTTATTTATCATGAATCAGCGGTGGCTCTTCTCACCTAGTGGTTCTTGGTTGATGTGAAGATTAGTGTTTTTAAATGTCCTCTTGCAGCCTTGACACTTGATCAAACTAATCGTAAAGCTCTATGAAGCGCAGGAGGGCTAGTTGAGATGCTCAGCTCTCTCAGCCATGTGTTTCTGTTCAGAAGGAGATTACACTCCATGAGCAAGGCAGGGAAAAAAGAGGTCAGATCAGATGAAGGAAACCATTCATAATTAAGATTTGCTTGGAAGAGATGATTCAACTTGTGTGGACCAATGTTTGCTTCAGGGCAGCTTGGTATTGTAGCTTATTTTTGTTGCTTAGAAAGGCAAATCTTGAGATAAAAGAGGAAATTTCACTGCAAGGTGAAGGAAAAAGCTGATGTGTTGTCAGGAGAATCTCTATGTCCCTTCTTAAGCATTTACAAATCTCTAGTCTTCAGAAGGCTGAGATGGAGGTTATAAAATACTTTCGACATCCATACAATTGAGTGGAGGCTTTGTCTTCTGTGTTATTCACAGATGGTCTTTAGCCTTCAACCTTCCTTTGTGCCGACTTGAAAAATGGGTTCTTTTCATTCAGCTATTTCACTGGGACTGAAGTTGTAAGCATGTTTATTTTCCCTCTTTCTGTCCTAGAGTGTGCACTACTGATTTCTTACTTCCCTGTTGTGCTTTTGTGGGTTTTGACAGCAGGTATCAGATTACCTGTGGCTTTGTGAATGACTCACTGTTGCTTTTGGCCCTGTGCTCTGATTTATTTTACTGGGAATTCATTTGGGATTTGGTTCTTTTTTTTCAGCATTGCTGCTATAACCAGTAAGAGAAGCTCAGTCCTTATGCCAGAGAATTCTGCAGAAGAAATCACTGTTTGTCCTGGTAAGCACCCCACTGTGATGTTATTGATACATAGTTTTCTGCCTTTTAATTCCAAAAGACCTTGAGGAGGAGGCTTATATGAGACTTATTTGTTAGTATCCATGTTTAAATACATATATACATACATACACATACATTTTTACAAATAGGCTCGGACTTTCAATCATTTATCTCTTGTCTGCTTGTTTGCTTCTTAGGTTTATCAGAGATAGCAGTGACTTATAAGGAATAGCACTTACTTAATTAACTGTACTTTCAGAGCCAAGATAACTTTATGGCTTTCTTTTGCATTCTCAGAGTTGGTCTGCCTTCCAATCTGCTTATCATTAAGGTAGACTTTTCACAGAGCCTTTTACTAGTTGGTTCTGTCTTGCCATTCACTGGAATCGTATTGTGTAGGGAGTCCAGAATTAAATTTTGGGCACAACTCTGTCACCGACTTTTAAAAACTTTCAGATGAGGCACCACTTTAAAACTTCTTAATTGTAGAAATGAAGACATGCATTCCTTCCTTTTGGCGCAATTGATGCTCATACAAAGTTGCACATAGGTGGATTTAGATATATGAGAATTTTAAATAAACTAATGTGCACTATTTAAGAGAACTTTTGAGTTGAATGATAGTATAATATGAAGAATGATGGTATGACATGA